TATACAGATGTGGTAAGGTTCTGCTGTGCCTATAAAACCATAATAGCACAAACCCGGGAGCGAGCTCCTGATTTTTATAGGACTTGCTGCCTTAATGATCTTTCAGAGAACTATTTAAAAAAAAAACAAAAAACCTAAAACAACCAGAACACCATTTTTAAAATGAGCAGCTCAGACAGAAATCTGTATTACAGAACTCAAACAATTCTTTAAAAGTTTTATTTGTCTGTTGCTATGTTCACCAAGTGAAATATCTGTGGTTTTAAAATAAGGGTGTTTTAATAACCTAAGTGAAAAATGCTGACTCAGTAGATTCTGCTATTAATCAAGCTCTCGGTTGGTGAGAGGAGATAATGCTGTAGGTTATGAATATCAACCTTAGGCAAGCAATGCCACTTAAGCTCTCACAAGTGCAGATTAGGCTGTGTTCTCTGTACAGCCTCCATGATGGCCCCACTGATTCCTGTCGAAGTTGGTGAAAGTGTTGTTGCTGGCTTCAGTAGCAGGTCAGTTGGGCTCGCCAGTAAACAATTTGCAAACAAACTGTAATTGCTTAACAGAACATTGGGCTTTTCTTTTGAGGTAATATAGTAAAGTGGAGAGGGGAAAAAGAAGCCAGGTAAAATAGCTTGTTAAATGTGTGTTCAGTTCTAAGAAATCAAACTAGATGCCAGATGAGGCTGTTTCTAGGAGTAACACAAGATATTATGACGTCTTACTTAAATGAGTAGTTTCTTGTTACGTATTTACTAAATCTTTGGATAAATAACAAGTGGATATTTGAGACTGCTTATTAAATCTCTGGTAACTCCAATTTCCCTTGGTTGCTAGTCAAAGTGTGCTTAGCCATCAGAAGCAGATGTATTAACTTTCCACACAGATTTATTTTCATAGGAAATTCTGAGTAAAGTTCAGTCTAACTTTCCTCATTGAAAATGAATGTGGTGGTCTCCAGTCAGTTATCAAAGATAAATGGAAGTAAATTGAATGCTACATAAACTTAAAACAATAGCATGTAGATGCTGTTTCTGCCTTAGCTGTAGAACAGAGGTGGTAAAATTACTTAAGTCCCTTGGCCAAGGCAGGTCCTTACTCTTCAGCTCAGGGTTGAGGCCACTGATGAATTTTAAATCTAGCAATGTACTGTAGCTTTTCTTAGGTTTTGAAGAGACACTAGTTTTCATTGCTACCTAACCTTTATGTACCAAAATCAGATTTTTAGGCTTCTGAGCTATCCAGAGTGCTATGTCACAAACCTCTACATTTTCCTAAATAGACGCAACTTACAGCATGTACAATGCAAGAAACAAAATGACAGATCACAGCACAGTTTTTATTTAGAAGTAGTAAAACAAAGAATATTTTTTATAAAGCAGACTGGAAAGTTTGTTACAAACAATGCTCGTTTTATCTGTAGTTGTGTAGGTGAAGAAAATGTCTTTATGTTGTGATGTTATTTCAAGCCATCCATTCATTTATAAAAAGTATGAAGGAACTGACATCTGAACCCTGAAGCTTATTCCCTATTGTATCATGAGGTGATGGTACCATAGCTTATGATGATCACGGGCTGTTAACTCAGTCTCCACTTGATGCCTAAAAGAAACCACCCTGCCAGTGGTTGCTCTCATTTGTTAGCAATAGTGCAAGTTACTTTTCACCAGCATTACTGTCAAGCAGGGGATGACATTTTTAGTCTACTAATGACCACACTGTGCTAGGACTAGACCACTCCAAAATGCTGTGAGAATGCTGGACACTTGTGGAGTTTTTCCATCACAAGACGGGTAGAAAAATAAGTCACTGCTTCAGGGTTCTAACTCTGTTTACTTTCTCATCCTTCTTTGATTTTCTGTAAGGTACTACTTTTGATACGTGCTGTATTTTCTTTAATTATGAAAATCTTTATTTATTTAAGATGCCATTTTGTTTTGTTCAGCAAGCCAAAAAAATCAATATACTGTCAGTGTGCACCAAGAACTTCAGAATAGTTTGGTAAAAATGCAGTTGGATTAATTTTTAAAACTAGCAATGCAATTCTAATCACAGTTGATGCATGGGAATTTTCACTGTTGGAAGTTGGTTACAAGGTGTTCAATCTTCACTGACACATATTTTTGTAAACTTGAATACAAGTTTACTGTAATTCATAGTATTTGTATAAAATTCAAAGAATTTTGACTTTTGTTACCTTGACATGGCAACAAGCTATCATGTTAAACTTAAATCCATTGATTTATTAAAAATACTTTTATAAAAGCTGCTTGCTGTTGAAGTATTTTGACTGTATTACAAATACTTAACTGAGTCACATTTTTCCCTCTCAGTACTACAGTATTAGCTTACCACTTCTTCGATAGCTTTAAAAAAGAAGCATGTTTTACGACTTGGAGAAGAGGATAAACACAGGGATAATCTTCACTTTGGATGCAGTGGGCTTGATATTCTAATTTATTTGTGGCAGCTAGTTTAGTGAAAATTGATTTTCAGTTGGAGAAAGCTGTTACCAGTTGGGGTAATGCTAACTTCTTCCAAATAAGGTTTGTAAAACTTTCAGTTGTTTCAGTTTGAAATATGAAGTTTTCTCACTATAGATCAGTGTTGTTGCTATGCAATCAAAATGAAATATTTAAAAAAAAAAACCAAAACTGGTAACTGGATTTACTCGTTGGGGGACTTACCCATTGATAGAGCAAATTCTATAATAAAGATCAATGCAGTGATAAGAATGATTCTCACTGTAAATATATTGCACTCGTTATTCTTTCCTTTGTCATAAAAGCCATGGGAAGGCATCTCCCATTTTACATCTGGAGGGAGTTGAAGATAATGATGGCATTTAAATGATCTTTGCTCACATTTTCCCCCTGCGGAGTGCATGCCTGAGAGGAAGATGCTTTCAGACTTCTAAGGAACAAAACTATACTTGCCTAAATATACCATAGGCTCACTTACTATTACTGGTATTTGAATGTGGCATTGCCTTGATAGGAGGAACTTTGAAGTTTTCTTCTTTTGAAGAAGGATATAACACACGGTTACAGAGCACCGTAGACGTATAACTGGTTGTAACTGAGAGCCGGGCACGTGAAACAGACACAGCAGGTAACCAGGGGTATATGGGAATATTTATTTGTTGTGAGTTCTTCCTGTTAGTAAAATAAATTGAACTCTTAACAAAAAATATATAGCAGCCCTTAATGAGTCCTCCACTAGCAGTTAATTTCTTTCCCTTGCCCACCCC